AACATCTCACTGTTCATATCAAATTTCTTGCTGTAATTGACCAGATTACGTAAAATTGAAAATTTTAAATCATACTAGACACAATAAAGATTAAAAACCCTAATTATTGAACTCATTTTGTTCAAAATATGCCATGAAATAAATCAAATGGCGGAAAAATAAAAAAACCCAAAGTTCTTACCTGTTTTTGTGAACCGAAGCTTTCAATCTCCAAAAAAGTCTGTTTTTCTCAACGATTATCACAAATTAGTAACAAAATCTTTTGATTCACAGCTTGAAGATCAATATGCCTACAAATTTTGAAAGATTCATGCCCTATTTGGCATGAAATTTTAGAAATGGCGGAAACCCTAAACCCCGAATTTTTCTTGATCCAAAAACAACCAATTTTTCCACCATTAAATCATTGAAAAAGCTGAATAAAGCTGTTTACAGCCTGCAAAACAGATCACGTGCCGAAAAAAACAAAAAAAATGATCAAAAAATGACAAATTTGAAAAAAATCCGTGAAAAATACTGTGCAACCCGTGTTCTTCACGGACTCGCCGATTCCGCACAGTGAATCGGCGAGTCACTGTGCGGAATCGTCCGGTTCTCTCTAGAACCGGAAGATTCCCGGTTTTTGAACCGATCCGGTCCCTTTTTCGTGAATTCCGAGTCGAACCGGGTGACGCGATTTTTAAAACGCTGGTTTCTATAGATTTTTCTAATCGTTGAGCATAATTAAGCTTTAGGAGCATGTCAAAAAACAGTCTCTTTTGACCGAGGAAGTGACTGATCAGGTATTTGGCCAAAAGTCAGACACGGGCCCACAGTTTCTAAGTCCAACATATGCGGCCCATTTAGATGATAATTGGAGAAAGGCCTTTACCAATTCGTTGTTTAAAAGAAGAATGAAATAATTAGGTTGGTTTAGTGGGCTTCCAAAAAACATTGTCATCACGATAAAAAGGTTATGATGAGTAGTAATTGATGCTAAACATGGAATGATTACATGTAGCTTTAGCAAAAGAAGGAACATAAAACAACAGTTATTCAATAAATAAGTTTATTTTCCCATATTCACTATTATGGTTGCCAAGAAATTAACACCTGCAAATGGATCCAAAATCCACCTCCAAGATGGAATTTGTAAGTGGGGACACATCTCACTTGATGCACTCTGCCCTTTAGCCTTCAGGTTCAATCCAAGAATTGAGTCGGGCTCTGTATAATATGGGAAATGAAACATTCAATATATATATATCACATATTTAAAAAGAAATTGGTTTGAGTTGGCCCACGCGAGTGCTAGCCCGGACTTGCCTCCTGCGTCAATTGTGAAGCTTAACATGCATTATGAATCCTATCTGAAACTAGGCACGTCTCGAAAGTCTTCCAGCCAACCCGGGCATTAACATTCCAATTTCTCCTACCCTTTAAAGCCTGACCTAGAGGCGGCAACGGGTCTAGTCCTATTTGACCCGAACCTAGACTCGAATCGTATTCGAATCCAAGTTTTAGACCCGGACCCAACTTTTTAGGTCTAAATTTTGGATCCAAACCTGGATTTAAGATCAGGTCTACCTATCGAGTCTCAGGTCTAATCGGGTCCATTGTCACCTTGAACATGTGGATCATACTATAATGAACTTACGATTTTATCGGTGTATCTTCAAAAAATTTCAATCCGTTTCAAAACAAAGTATCGTGAAGCGGATTTGGATTTGCTTTTACTCCTCTCATGTCCACTCCGGAATTAAAATCGCTCCTGAGGTGAGCAGGAATAAATATACAATCAAAGGATAAGAAAGGGCAAAAAGAAAAGAGGGAAAAAAACTCGACCGTTACGTTTTGCCCGTTAAACAAACCCTATTTCAAACTCACGTTCCCTCCCCCCCTCCTCGTACCTGTCGTCGATTCCTCTGCAATCCAACGGCTTGTATTGCTCGCCCTCACGTCCCCTCTCTCTCTCTTCCCTGGTTCCTGATATTCAGTGCGCTAACTCGCTTTTCAAAAACCATACATCTGCAGGTCTTCGATCGTTTTGCTTCCTCCTGATGAAACAAGTGGAGGAGAAATACTGCTGCCTCCGAAGAGAAATGCTACAAGCATAATAAGGCTTTAATGGTGCAGAGTGCAATCAGTTCAAATCGATCTTCTTTCCTCACTTCTCTCTCTAGAATGCCTCTGCCCACAAGGTATCACATCTTGTCTCTCTAGAATGCCTGTATCCACAAGATCTCAGGTTTCAGGGTCCCAAGATGGCCCAAATGTAACCAACAAAGCTCGAGCCAGGATTGAGTGCCACCCTGAACCAGAGGGAGCTGAAATCGCAGACCCCTTTCTCAACAACCCTCACCATGGTCTCAAAGAGAAGCTCAAAGCCCTCACCCTCCTTTATGAGCAACAAAAGAACCTACCAGCCTCAGAGAGAAGGTTTGCCACACACCCAAGCATCGACCTCTTGGGCTCGAAAAGAGGAGCTCCTGAGGAGGACCTCACCCACAGAAAATCACCCATGAGAGTGAAAACAGGGGAGCTCAAAGAAAGAGGCACACCCATTAGTGAGAAAACCCAGGGGATTGAAGAGAGAATCAAACCCCTGAGAGAGAAAACCCGGGGACTCAAAGAAAGAAGTGAACCCATGAGAGAGAAAACCCAGGAACTCGAAGAAAGAAGTGAACCAATGAGAGAGAACATGATGCCTGGTTATGGGGTGAAGCCTTTAATAGCGGGTCTCTCACTTGAAGAGAACCGAAGCCATTGGTTAGAGGCAAAGGAGAATATCGACCGATTTGGGTTCTCATGCCCAAAAGTTCAAAAGGAGTTGGCAATGTCAAGTGTGGCGATGAAGCTGAGCATGGGGAGTGGCAACCAATCTGAAGGGAAAGGGAGTAGGTTTCAGAAAATAGAAAGCAAAGAGCTTCAAACCATCTCAGAGACAGGTGGGGTGGGAACTCGAATTCTTGTATTTGTGAGGCTGAGGCCTATGGCAAAGAGAGAGAAAGAGGCAGGATCTCGTTGTTGTGTGAGGATCCACAACAAAAGAGATGTTTACCTCACTGAATTTGCAACAGAAAATGATTATCTTCGTCTCAAGAGGCTCCGGGGTCGCCATTTCACCTTCGATGCCTCATTCCCTGATTCCACCACCCAACAGGAGGTCTATACCACTACGTAATTTCTCTGCAACTTGGCACCCAGATTGAAAGATCAACAAGAACAAACACACACACTCTCCCTCTCTCTTGATGGGCTTCTCTTTCTCACTCTTTCTTGATGGGTCTTTCTATTGATGCGTTTCTGTATTGGGTCATTCAGGATGGGAGACTCTTTCTATCTCTCTCTCTCTCTCTCTCTTGATGGGTTTCTTTATTGGTGAATTCAGGACGGCAGAGCTGGTTGAAGGAGTGCTCCAAGGTAGGAACGGTTCAGTATTTTGCTACGGGGCTACAGGGGCCGGAAAGACATACACGATGCTAGGAACTGTCAACCATCCCGGAGTCATGGTGCTTGCCATCAAAGATCTCTTCTTCAAGATAAGGCAGAGGAGTTGTGATGGAAACCATGTGGTTCACCTCTCTTATCTAGAGGTCTACAATGAGACAGTTCGGGATTTGCTATCGCCCGGGAGGCCACTGGTCCTCAGAGAAGATAAGCAGGTATGATGAGATCTGTTTCGAAAGATGCCATTCTTCCTAATTATTTCTTCTTATAAAGCGTGTGATTGTCCAATTCCTGTCTACAATTGGATGTCTTTAAGCTCATGAATGCATTTGAGTCATATTATCGATCTTCACATGTATTAGTTATGATCTTTTAACCAAAAACAATAAGAATTTAGGGCTCATTTGATTCATATGATCCATATTTACATATATTAGTTATGGTCTATTAGACAAAAATGATAGGAATTAATGGTTTTTGAGTAGAGGATTATGGTTCTAGTAGGTCCTCCACAGGCGCCCCCCCCCCCCAATCTCTGATGGAATAATTGATGTCTTTAGAGGGATCCTCACCTAATTCCAGCTTACTCAATCATCACAAAGGGAAAGATTCAAAATCCTAGTTTTTTATTTTTAACAAAGTCATGGACTGATGCAGGGGATCATGGCATCTGGGCTAACACAGTACAGAGCCTACTCCACAGATGAGGTCATGGCTCTGCTTCAACAGGGTAACCTGAACAGAACCACCGAGCCTACCCGAGCCAATGAGACCTCCTCACGTTCACATGCCATTTTGCAGGTAACTCCTCGAAAGATGCCATGTGTCACTTTGTTGAGAACAAGAAATATTCAAAATGGATTGAGAGCTATTTGGATAGATAGATCCCCATGGATTATGTTGAAATTTTGTTGGGTGAATGTGACAATGGTTCGCTTGTTCTTCAATTATGGCAATAATCTACTTAAATTTGAGAATCTTGTTATGTTTGACGACTTCTTTCTTGCAAAGTAGTTTCTTTCTTTCAATATTTGAAAATGGTTTCTTTTAAAATGCAGGTTGTGGCAGAATACAAGGTGCGGGAAGGAGGCAACTTGCTGAGTCGAGTTGGGAAGCTATCCTTGATCGACCTGGCTGGTTCCGAGAGGGCTCTGGCTACTGATCAGAGGACGGTTCGGTCATTAGAAGGGGCCAACATAAACCGGTCACTACTAGCCCTGAGCAGCTGCATAAATGCATTGGTGGAGGGGAAGAAGCACATTCCTTATCGTAACTCTAAGCTAACCCAGCTCCTCAAGGACTCATTGGGGGGTGCTTGCAACACAGTGATGATAGCCAACATCAGCCCGAGCAACCTGTCTTTTGGCGAGACCCAAAACACCCTACACTGGGCTGACCGTGCCAAGGAGATTCGTACCAAGGTAGCCTTGAACCAATTTTACTCTGTTTGAGCAAAAATTCTCGTTTTCTTTTTGGGTTTATAGACAGGGATTCGAACCTTAAAATTAGTATAAAAGACTGAACTTATGGAGCTTTATACTTTTCTTTCTTCAGAGATTAAGACAGGATTAGAACCTTGGAGATTAGACCCCATAGCCATAACTATTAATCCAAGAGGCCAAATCACAAACTGTTCCATTGACATTTTCCTATAGCTATGCATAAACTAATGCCTTAATGAGCTAACGGATTACTCTGTGCCATTTTTTGTTGGGATAGATTACTGTGTGCTAATTGAAATGCGGAACTTACAAGTCCATGACACATATAAATCTGCATTAAACTCATTATTATGCTGGGAATTCCCTAGTTTCATATGCCACTAGTTTTCACCTCTAATAACTTCTATAAAAAAGAATACGTATTTATATAGTGCTGGCTGTTGAGGTGATGACCCTAGTGTTCTTCCCAGTTCCTTCATGAAAACATGCTTCATCTTTTCAGAGAAAACATGCTTTGTTCTTACATTGGGTCTATACCCCAAATCTTTGTGGTTTGAGCTCTCAATCTCCACCCTAGATTGGAGGTTAAACATCACAAAACAATAGAGAGTACCAGTTTTGCTTTATCATTTATGTTTTGGTCTCTCAAGCATTCTTCCATTCCAATCTTTTAAAATATCATGGTGTTCTCATGAACGTTCTGGTTGAATGTCCTAAAAATTCTTCCCAGAAAAAATGACAAATGTTGGCATTATTTTGTTAAAAGGTGCGGTTTATATAAGGTTGCAGCCTTAAACAATCCAATCAAGGCGCACCCCAAAATTTTATTATAACATGTAATTTTGTTGTAAATAATTCTTAGGATTATCTTAAAATCTTTTTTCATATCTAATTATAAAATTTTAAATTCTAAAAATGGTTAAAATCAAGTAGATCTATAAATATATGAAAATCTTGAAAATAGACGGTCCAGATAATGTGTTGCAAGATGCACTATTTTTGGGACTCAAAAACTGTTTTTTTTCCATATTCATACATCTCGATATCGAGATGATGGATTAGAGGGTTTTTCAACATTAAAACAACATTTCTGATAGATTTTTAAGGTGCATATGTGATTCTACATTTAAGGTTGCAACCTTATATAAACTTTTCCCTTTGTTAAAATACAGTGAAACTGCCATTAAATGGCTAAAATATAATTATGAACGCATAGGCATTTAACATTAGGTTGCAGAGTAACCCATAGGTACAGTTGGCATTAACTGGCTAAAATATATTTTCCTTTTTTTAGATTTTTTTGAAATGTCCTCCACTATATATCTTTTTAAATGCATTTTCCTATACTCCATATTTGGACTTCTAAGGTTGCTTTTGGTTTTATTTTCTTCATATTTTTTTTTTTAGGACTTTTGGTCCTGAACAGGACTCGCCAATGGTTGAGTCCCTTGCCCGAGGTGATCTTCTAAAACCCTGGATAAGCTAATAAGAAGCAATTGGAAGTTCCTCTTTACATTTCTCTTTGATTTTGAGAGTTTTTTCCTGCTTGTGACAGGCCTATGATGTAAAGGATGAGTTGTTGCCAGTCCCAGAATCAGGAAATGATCAAGCAAAACTGCTGCTAGAGTTGCAAAAGGAGAATAGGGAACTAAGAGTACAATTAGCTCGTTACCACCAAAAATTCCTCAATGTTCAGGCACATTCACTAGCAGCAGCCGGCAGCTCTCCCACACCATCCATATCATCCCCCTCCTCACTTCTATCCCCTCACTTCTCTTCAATCACAAATCACCCCAAAGAAAGGCGTCGCTCCAAGCTCTCCTCTATCATGCCTGGGTCCAACCAAGATGAAGAGGGGGAAACCACACACATCCTCAGGCAGAAGGTGCAGTCCCTTGAAAACGAATTAGAGCGCTTGAAACTTGAGCATGAGTTGCAACTCAAGCATAGCATGGAAATCATAAGAGAACTCACCCTTAACCAGAAGCCCCCTTCACCCCGAAAAGGCCATGATGATATGAGCCCATCACGCATGGCTTCTCTTAAATGCATTCTTAGTAGGCAACAGCAACAAACCCAGCAGAAGAGAGGGGAGGATGATGAAGGAGGGGCGAGGCCGAGAAGGATGGTATCATCTTCCTCTAAGCATGTTGTCACAAGGACAGGTTTACGAGCAGCAGCATGTGAGACGACGATGAAGAAGAAGGGAGGGGGAGGAAGCGATGATTTGAAGAGCCCTTCACATAGGTTTGTGTCCCCCATTCCCACTGCAAAGAAGAGGAGCTATTGGGACATCACCACTGCCAACAGCCCTTCGGTCGCGGTTGCCCATGGTAGGAGCACCAGAAGCCATGTAGCGGCAGAAACTCCTTCCATGCTCCTCCAGGTAAACGTCACGTCACAAATCATGTTCTAGTTATTTTTACCCCTTCGTTCCTATCAAAATGTCTATGTTTAGGAAAATTTACCGATTATTAGAGGGTCTGTAAGCTAACATATATCAACATATAGCTAGAATTTGTTTTCAGAATATTAACTAGAACATATTATATCTATTCATGGCCATGAGTTTTTTTCCATATACTGATCCATCTCCGCTGTTGATAGATCAACAGTGAAGATGGATGAGTACATGGAAAACCGATGGGCTACGCATGCATATTATATGAAATCATATATGAATTCTAAGTTTCATGAATGCTTGTATCCTTACATGCACAAATATTGGTTCAGATATATGGATCCTTATAAGATGTGCATGGGGAGAGGCCCTTTCCATAGGGGTTATGAGTTGGGGATTCTTTAAGGACAAAAGGTTCCTTTAGTACATAAATAAAACCATACATAATCAAGTTCTCTAAAATACTGCAAGGCTTCAAAAATCCATATTGGCTTAACCACCCATTGATTTGTTCATAGCGTTCATCTTTTATGTTATGTTTTGGGAGGCTTTGAGAGAGAAATGTTGAATGTGACTACTGATGCAGCTTGCCTCTCCATGTTTCTGGTTTGTGTTAATTTTGGGGCCACATCTTGTGGGTTACTTCCTTCAGCCTGGCTTTGCCCGTCAGAGGCCACCCATCAATCGCAACCGCTGAAACACAGAGAAAGAAATGGAGGAAAACGTAATGTCAAGAATGGAGTTCACCCATTATTACATTTGCCATTGCTGGACTAAGCAAACAACGAGGCAAATATATTTATGCAGGCATACAATATACCATTGTTATCTGCAATCTTTTTATTTATTTTCATATCCATTCTTTGAGGGAAAATTGATTCTGCCATTGGTGATATCATATCACATATTTATTCACTCCAAGGATGCGAACTCAAAAGTGTTGTAATCCTATTCATTTCTTTATATTCTTGTGCTTTCTATAATGGGTGAGCTGAAAGGATTTTTACTTATTAGTTCAATTATTTATCGGGGAATTTATCAATTTACCCATGAGAAATGAAAATTTCAGCATCTTAACCATGTCTTTTGATTTAATTTCAAAATACCCGAAAAAAAAACACATGATCTTGAGTAGCATATGGGTAGAGTGTTAAATCGTTCATCTCTTATGGGCATTTTGTTAAATTTTCCATATTTTAAACTAAGGAAACAAATAACCTTATTTTGCCACAGATTGCATTCAAGAAAAGGATATAGCAGTACCAGGCTTAAAGAATTTTCTGCTTATGTGGTAACCAGATTCCTGCAAAAATGACATTTTGAATATCAAAAGCAAGGAAATTTGAGTTACATCCTGAAAAATGTAAAAGACAAACCTAAGTTCATCCTGTGGTTTTAACATTCTAACAAATCCAAAGACACAATTCTCCTCCTCAGCCCTAAGGGGCCCATTGGGCCATGAAACAGTCTCCTCCAATAAGTGAACATGATATAGCGCACTATGGTTCATCTGCGATTCATGTAGCCCATTTTCCTCACTCATCAACTAATACGGTCATCCTTTTTTTTTTTTGGTCTGTTGTGGTTCATATGGACCATTTTCCTTGCCCCTCATCAAATAATAAGTTATTCTTCTCCGTATTCTTTGCCTTCTTTCCTCTCTCTCTCTCTCTCTCTTTTGATTCTAGAATTCATGTAGCTCACTGGTATGTGTGAGTTTTATTAATGATAAGCATGCTTCATATTTGCTAATTTTACCGCTTTCTTTATCAGTTTTTATCTGAAACATGTTTTGCACTTGTATCTAATATGTGGGATCAGTTTTGAGCTGCCAATCAATAACGACAATAAGGAGCAACCCCCATTCAACAGGGAAATTGCTACTTCTCTAAGCTGTTAATTCTGATCTACCTAAACTATGTATCTCCATTATAGGAGAGCAAATCGAATGGCCCAGCTGATATAATTAAAGCAAAGGTTGTCTTGAATCATTAGTTGCCTATTTTTTTTATCTTTTACCATTTAGTATTAGGTTTTATCCAAAACTCCTTCCTGGTATTATGCATTTTGTATTTGGTTTGAATACCATTCAGATACACAGTAATAGGAAGGATATGCCAGAGACAAAGCAGCAGGGTTCAGGGGGGACCAGATTGGACCCATCATGACTTACAGAGAGAGAGAGAGTCCTCATGGGATTTGATTGGTCACTGCTCTTAAGTCTTAACAAAACCCATCAGGCGCCGTCTAAAAGACCATCTCTCTTTCTCTCTCCCTCAAAGACCATGGACAAAAGTAGCTCCTGTCAATGTTGCCTTCCAAGAAAAAGATACTCTCTCTCTAAAAAAACCATGCACGAAAGTAAATCCTGCCAGTGTTGCCTTCCAGTAGTAGACAAAAAGAAACAGGAAGGCATTCTAAAAGAGATTGAAACCCAAGGACCAGACCATGGAAATGAAAGGAAAAAACTTTTTAAGAATGGTTTCAGTCATTTGCAGCGCTTTAATCTCAATCTCAAAACAAGCAACACCACAAAAAACACCAAAAAGAACTAAACAACACCATTTACATACAAACGCAGTCAGTTAAGTTAGCAACAAACGAAAGGATTTTTAGAGAAAAACAGAGAAAACTTGGTTTTGAGGACAGGGGGTTTGTTTTGTATCAAAAGTGAGGCCTCTCTTATTGTAGTAGTTAAATCTAGATCCTGAGGAGGAAGATGCTGAGCTCAGGGCCTCCAGTGCCATCAGGGTTGATCATGTAAAAGGCCTCAGAGTCCTTCGAACCAACGACCCTCTCAAACCTCGCCCTCATATACATGAGCTCCCCACCACCATCGCCGCCACCCCCGTGCCCGAGTGGCAGCACCCCCGCCCCCATCGATATCGCCTGCACTGCCTTCAAAATTTCCCAGTCGCCCCCTGCACACTCCCTCGTCACGGCGTAGCCGCTCTTCCTCCCGTTGCAGTACATGCTCCACACCGGCTCGTCAATGAGGCGGCGGCCCCTCTTCTTTTTGGCCTTGTCGTCTTGGCACCTTCGCTCACATTCGAGGGCAACGCGCACCACCCCGCACGCCATCTCCTTGACGAGGGCGCTGGTCTGCATGGCCAGCTCGATGACGAGCGCTGGCCACGCCCCTGGGTCCTCCTGGAATGTGAAGTGCACGTGGCCACGGCGGTAGCCAAAGAGGGTGCCCGTGATGCAGCTGCCAAGGTGCGACGACGACCCACGCAGTAGCGCCGAGGGGCGCGTGGGCAGGACGTGGAGGCCCTTGCAAGAGAAGGGCATCACCACAGCGAAGGGGATGACGCTGCGTAAGACTGAACGGAGCATGTGGGCTACCTTCTTGGGCTTATGGTCACCGCCACCATCGTATTTGAAGACCAGGGGCTTCTGCGGGAGCTCATCCTCCTGAGCGGCAGGTTCGACCGATGGGCGACCGGGAGAGGCCGGCACTATGGCTTTGCCCATGCCTTCAACCGGACTCCTCCGGTCTGAGTACCTCTTCGATGATCCCGACTCCACCACCGCAGCCATGCTTCTCCCCTCCCCTGCACACACGTTCTCTCTCTGTCCCCACTTTTTTTTGGGAGCTCACAACTCTTGTACTCAAACACTTGCCCTCTCTCCCAACTTGTTTGGTTGCTCAATGAACTCTCTCTCTCTCTCTCTCTGGATTTTTTGATTTGGCTCTCTGCAACAACCTACTCTGGACTCAAATATAGCACTCTCCCTGTCTTCTGGGATATTTTGCTCTGGCTCTCCACATCAACTTTCTGTGCACTCAAGCCGCTTTTTTGAAAGGCAGTGCCTCTGTTTGCTTTTTGGGTGTCTTGCTTTTCTGGTCCAGTTGCCGACAAGACACTCCTTTTTGTGGCTGCCTTCTCTCACTTTTTTTCCTCCTCATTCTCTCTCTTAAGCTTGAGAGTTATTGCTCAGACTTGAAAGTTTCATGAAAATGGGAAACAGTTAGTTTAAGTTAAATAATAGATGGAAGAAATTGGGATTTGGAAGTGGGAAAAGGCGCAGTCAGGGGTCCTGAGTCCTGACAAAAGGCGGTGATCAGTCCCACCTACCCATCCATTCCATACCAACAAATAAACTCAGGGACGAGAAAGAGAGAGCCTTGAAAGGTTTGTAGGGCTTCTGTCAACAGAGAGAGAGAGAGAGATTTGAAATGTTTGGACTTTGGAGGTCTTCTGTCATGAGAGAGAGAGAGAGAGAGAGTTTGTTGGGGTTCTGTCATGGCATCCCTGACAAAACCCTGTGGCTCCTATTTTCCTTTTGACCCAGTTCAACATGAAATGGAGATTTACATACATGTTATTTCCATGTGCTCTTTATTTGGGAAAATATAAAAGGCGAGGATTTTTTAATTTTTTCTAAATCCATCAAACCCGGGTAAAAGAGGTGATAAAATTGTGATAAAACTATCGTGAATCTTGAACATGAGTTATTTTAAAGTAGAATAACATATCAAGATTAGTGTACCCGATCTTAATTAATTAAATAAAATTTATGATGATTAAAAAAATTTAAAAGCATTTAGACTTGAGATAATTAAAAGTATGTGGCTTAAGCAAGTAGAGCCATTAGACTTGAAATAGTAAAAAGATTATAACTCAAGGAGTCGCTGATAAAAACTTTTCAGGAGGTCAATTAAATCCTTCAGCCTTAAATGAGTAATTTTGAATACTTTGATAAGATAGTTTTAGTTTTATTTTCTAATTTATGTTCCCTTTTATTTTTTCGATTTCCCACTGACCCCTCGTTGGGTTTCTTTATTAGTTGATTCCCTATGTTATGAATTAAAACTTTTTGTTTTCTTATAATTAGTATCATTAATTGCCCACCCTTTTAATACAGGGCACCCACGGCATTGACCTACTTACCTGGTGATACATAGGTGCAGTTGATCTCCAATATCAATGGCCCTATTTATGTAGCACACCTGCATACTTTGTTTTAAAATAAAGGAAACGTATAGAAAGAGACTGTTTACTTTTTACATAAGGAGGTCATAATCATTATTTATTGTTAGGTTTAAACAGGATGGTTGAGATTTAAGCAAAAAGGCTAAAACAAAATTTTTTAGATATTGTGATATTTTTTATTTATTAAATTTTATATCTAATGGTTAAAAATGATTGTGATATATTTGTACAAAAAATAAATAGTCTCATAATATACAATCCCAAAAAACTAAAAGATGCAGTTTCTATAAGGCCTAAGTTTTATGAAAATAAAGTAAAGCCTCACCTCAAATCCTTATCCGAAAAGCACGTTAGGCATCGAAAATCTCTATAATGCCTTTAAAATCAATCAATTTTCAACACCGATTATAAAATTTCAAACTAAAAAAAAAGTACAAATCTTGCTAATCAATGGACAATTTTTTAGGCAAGATAGATGGTTCAAATATGTTTTACAATATACATTATTTTAGGGCCAAAAATATTTTTATTTTAGTTTTTTTTGACAACCAAATAATTGAAGACGAGATGATCACGTTTTTTATACAAAAAAAATGTAATATTAGTTGAGTTTTGAGGCGAACCTTTACTTATTTTGGAAGGTTGCAGCCGAAAATATTTTCCATGAGTACAGACAAGTTATACTAGGAAATGTGGCGATAATCCTCGGAATGCGGGGGACGTTTGAAAGGGGGGAGAGAGAGAAATGGGGAAAGTGTGTGGTGGGGTGACTCCCATATGGAATTCGTCGGACAGGTGAACCAAACCCCTGTCCCACCCCACCGCACCCCTGTCATGTCATCCACTTAAGAGTCAGAGAGAGAAAGTACTGGGCATATTTTGAGAGAGAGATGGAGTGGTAAACATAATTACGAGAGGCATAATGTGCATTTGAGAGAGAGAGATGGGACACACTGCTCTCCTTTCCCCTGATTAAATGTCCTTTCCATGGACTTGATTCACGTTTGCCTACCCTTGGTGGTCTACACTTACTGCAAAAACAGCCGAATTGGCACCCAAGTCATAACTAACACCGGGCAAATGTCTTCGAGGGCCCTGATACTGATAGGGACATCAAGGAATACTTCTTCCCCACCCTACTGACTCTTTGCCTCACAGGCTTTTAAAAGCTCGAGATCTGTGTTATCAATCCTTTCCAAGTGCTGGCTGGAGTCGTGGTGGTAGCCCACCACTCCTTTCCAAGGGAGGGTTCGAGTCCTGGTGGTGGCCCTCCCCATACTTCACTTGCACATTGTGCTTTCCAATTTCACTAACGGTTTCAAAAACTACCCATTTAAAAAATACGCCAACAACTTTGTAAACCTAACCGTTTAAAAAATTGGTCAGAGCTTGGGCTGGAGTCGCGGTGGTAGCCCTCCTTTCCAAGGGAGGGTAAAACTTTCCTTTCTTAGGGCCCTCTGTATTGGCCAAAAGGGCCTCTTGGGAGTATATAAAAGTTTCAATATCACTGGGTCATTTTTTTCAAAATTTTATATAAAACAGAGGACTTTTTATGAAATTTTGAATATATTGGGATTTTTTGAAAATCTTACAGATACAAGTGATTTAGTGAGAATGACTTGTCCACTTCGCTTCAATTTAGAGCATCGACACAAGGACGTCAGCCAAAGCCAAGCGGAAATGTAAACATTGCTCTGAACTCCCAATATGGAATGTCATGCAACTGCTAAGATTTTCCCATGCAACAACACCACCATCAATCATATGGATGATTTCCACAGCTCAAATCGTATGATGGCTTTTGCACGTCCACGCATATCATTCTCATTCTAAAAGAAAAATATGGTCTGTTTTGTTTAACATTTCCAACAGGTATATACGCCCATCTTACGCTAGGAGAATCAGTCTAATTCTGGAAAACAACAGCTCCAAGGTTTTGGTTATTCACAGTTACCTTCAATTACCAGGAATAGACAGAAAAATATTATATCAGCCCTCCGAGTTGTAATGAGGCGTAAAAGCCACTTTTAAAATGAGGTACATTTAACTCGGATTTTGCACACAAAAATCTCCGATCGAGGAAAAAATGTGAACAAAATGGGAAGAAAATGAGATCTCCCTTTTCGCTGAATGCAAGCCATCCATTTGGTGATGGCGGATCTTGGTCTTTGGGACCTGAAATTTCGACTTTCATTTTATTTGTTTGTCTCTCAAAAGTCACAAAATTTCATTGCAAACAAATCCCCCTAGCTATGTGTTACGGTGCTTGGCTTGCGTTGTAGCTACAAGGTCATTTGCTGATATAACTTTTCTTGGAATGGATATTTAAACAACATTTACTCTTGACAAATGTTGTTTAGTCTCACATAAAAGAGGGGATGAAATTATTCTCACCTACAAATACAAAGCATGCTTGCTTCCCATCCATAAATGTCGCACTAGCAAACTCAAATTCAGAATTATAAGAACATTTTCCAAACTTCTTCATAAAACAAATTATGAAGAGAAGCCCCCCGCCAATTATCACCAGAAAGTAGATATCTCACCAATAGGCTAGCTCTGCGAGCAACCGAGGTCCCAAATTTTCATGAGGTTCACCTCCTATAGTGGTGACTATGGTAATCATGCCTTTCTCTTCGACGTGATGAATCAGGAGCATTTTCCTTCGACACATGCCGACTCTCCCAACCAAAGTGATCCACCCCGGATGGGCTGTAATTCCGATCCAAATGTCTGCTCACATTTGGTGAGGAGTATAGGAATGAGCTATTATCAGGAGGATACGTAGACCCATGTGGGCTATGATTGGGCTCCCGATATGAGCCATCAGGAATTGATGGGCTCATCCTTCCTCTATCGGATAAAGACCCCGATAAATTAGGACTCCTGGGTCTCTGATTACTGTTACTTCTCAAACCATGAGAATCGTTATAAATGGGGTTCAAAGAGCTATAGCTCCTACTGAAACTCGAGGGGGTCACATGTTCAGTCCCTGGCGGACCATCATCTCCTGCATAGTCTGTGTGCCTCCTTTGGTCATGGGGGTGGTGACCTCGACTGCTTCCAGATGAGTGGTCTGACCTAGGATGTGACCTAGATGACGAGCCATGCTCAACTGATGCTTCCCAACGCCTCCGGTCTGCATTCTTCGGGATGGGGGCATTAATGCCTGGAAACTCGACTGTCATTTTCTTTTCATCCTGTAGGTCCAGTCGATCAGTTTCAGTGATTTCACCATCCTCTGGTGCCTGGTCCGCACTCTCTTCATCGGCGTAGATGGTAATTCCTGATGGCTCATCTTGATCTTCTGAATCTGCGATAGTTCACATGCGATTGTTTTTTTATTGCTGACATAGCATGCTTCAGAAATAGAAATGGCTGAAAAATAATAAGCAAGGAACACATTGTTTATACAATTTTTTATTTTTATTTTTTTAATAGGTGTCCTACAGGAACTGCACCACTATAATGATCATTTGAGCACACATAATATAAACTCAAAACGGACAAGTGCGGAAACCAGGGGCTTTCTCCATCATCTTTTCATATTAAGTAGAAGCCACTTGATGGAGCAAACTGGGATAGTGGATATCTTTAATAGAAAAAAGAAGCTATATAATCAGAGAAAATCAATCTACTCACCAAGATAACCAGGAGGGTACCCAATCTCACGCATCCTATTAAGCCAGGGAGGTGGATCGAGCTCCTGTGCAACAGTCATAGTCAGCACCGAGAAACCTTCTTAAGAAACAAGAAATGAGCATGGCACATGCAGCATAGCCATTGGGATCTAGAATGATACTCAAATTAAAATTTCATTTCATGAAGTTTTGTACTAGTAAATAGGTCTACACAAGCAAAATAAGCAGCAGATGAACATCTTTTGTAAGAAAAGAATTCAATTACCCCAATGCCCAAACATTGTCTGGTTTCAACCCCTAGGAAGCCAGCTCTGATGCCCTCAAACTTTCCGCCAGGAGAGTTTTGGTAATATCGTGTTGGACAGCGAGGGCCACTACTTTTCATACGTTTAGAATTGTGTTTCTTGCGAGCATTGTTGACAGCAACATTATCACGAGGTTTAGGGCATTCCTTCAGTGAATGACTGTAAGAGCCACAGTTAAAGCACCGTGAAGCATCTTCAGAGGTTTCAATTTGCCTACAAAATAAGCGAAAGAATTCAGCACCAGAGAAGTATATATTTAACCATGGAAACCCATGCGTAAAGTAATATAATGCTACTCGATGAAATTAAGGAAGGACAAAGAAAACAGGACAGGAACCTTTCTGTATCTGTCAAGCCATCAAGAGCAGCCAAACCCATTGCATACCCACGATCATATAATGGTACAGAATCCTCATCCTTCAAGATTAAATCTCTACTGTTATCCTGTCTTGCTTGGTTGTCCATCCAAAATGACTTTGCACGTGAGAAAAGATTTAATTAGTCCATATCTCAAAAAGATGCAATAAACACATCAAAGTAACAAACCATTTCTCGTATTAATACTGACAACCACCAAACATTAACCTTCATAGGAGAAACAGCAAAGAAACAACCAAGAAAGAGAACATCCTTTATCTCTAAAGAAAGTTCTCATCAGGTGAAGCAAAATTAAGCTCACAAAAGATTCTGAAAAAATAGAAACCACAATATGCATAATGTTTTTTTGGAAATAAGCACACTGTCACATGCACAATGAATTGCATATATATGTGATGATGGAAACCATGGAATACATCCACTGCCTTACAGAACTTAAGTAGGAGTGAGAGGCTCTGAGTACATAATGCTAAATATAAAAAGACTGGTTATTATTAAGTATCCTTATGAAAGCCATATAGACATAGATAGGGATGTAAAAATGGGCAGTGACATAAAAAACATGAAGTTTTGTCTCTTAAGCAACAGATATCCTCATTATTAAATTAGTTTGCTGCCTTTCTGGTTGAACAAAAAATAAATAAAGAAAAAGAAAGAAAGAGAAAGGCCCTGAAATTGGTTAAAATGGTGAAATCATAACCAATAAGTACATTTAAGAATCAAAGATTGGCAATCAAAATGCATCAGGGAAAATATGATATCAGGCATGTTACAAAGGCAAACACAAACAATGAATCACTGGCATGTGGTTCAACCATTCAGTGAAGCAAATCCCGAAGCTGCAGTCGAGCACAAAACCATGAAAATATTGTTTCGGGTATAAAAGACGCAACAGATGCGTATTTATCCTCAAGACAATAGAATACACAAGGATCATAGAGCTTTCATTCCATGCAAAGAAACAGAATAAATTTTGGAGCAGTTGGGGTATTTTTTTAAAGATCAGGGAACAATTGGTGATTACCACCCACAACACCAGAGATTCGACATCAATTATTTGCAGAATCATTTTCTTTCCTCCACCCAGCAAGACACAACATGCCTATTCTCCAAGGCTTAGATCGATACATGGAAAAAAAGTCCCTGAACAAAATGCAACCAAACAGTCCAACAGAGACTAACAAGAAAGCTGCCAAGGGTTCATGTAACAACTAACATTCTGCAGGTGAGGAATGGGCTCCTTCAAACTCATATCATATCAATATTTGAAGAGGACATGGAGATATTTCGCTTTTATAGTTTACTCTTCATCACTCCCATCCATGTTCCCCTGCATCCCATCTTTCCTTTCCAGTATTAGAACAGCATCCTGATAATCGGATTCAAAGCGAATATATATACCAACTCGTAAAAACTGTTATATGTTTTCAATGGCTCCGTCTATTGGCCTCTCCCTCCCTCCCCATCCTCCCCGCCAACCCTCCTCTCCTGCCCCTTTCCCCAAGCACACTCCTCCGCCTCCGCTACACAGCTTGACCCATCCTTCTTTCCCTCCAACCCAGGCAGCTCTTTCCGTTGGCCTCCCTCCCCTCTACGACCGCTACCAGCACCTCATTCATCCTTCACCCTCTTCCGACCCCAGACTCCTCAGACCTACCCCACCCCACCCCTGCCCCACAAGCTAATGCCGTCTCCTCCTCTCCCCCACCTACCTCATCCCTTGTTGCACCCTACTCTATCTCCATCGGCGGCAAGCACACCTCCTTCAAAGGTATATGCTTTTGGGATGCGCACCTCTGGGATGAACCAGAGCTCTAGGGTGGAGATATTCTCTTCCCTCTCTTCTGAAGATGGTTTCGTAAAGCAAGTCTGGAACCCAGCCCTTCCTTCAAAGGAGCCGCCTTATCCCTTAAACCCTAGAGCAGAGACATTGGGGCTTTCCTATCCCAAAAGTTTCGCTCACTATCTCCCACATCCCTCTGCAGGCCTGGTATGTGGACACCTTCTCCCACATTGGTCAAGCGGCGGTTCTCTCATTTGGGTTCATTAGCAATCTGCGGTTCATCTTCCCCTGGGCACAGTCCTTCTTCTGGGGGAAACTCTAAACCTTGCTCTTATCCCTCATTTCATGTGGCTTGAGGTCGATGACCTGTATTTTCGAACCACACTTTCCTAGTCCCACGCTTCACCATTCTCAAAGCGCCATTTCTAAGAGCATGAACCTGCCAAAGCCCAGTCCACGCCCCAGGAGCATCAACGCCTTGTAGACCACAACGATTGGACCATAGTCTCCCGCAACCGCCATGCCAAGAATCATGCCCACCATAGATCATGCTATCGAAGGGTGGATTGAAACACTTGGCCAGCCAATAGTTTCCTCTCTACCAGCTGTACTCCTCGAACACATATTGCCTCCATTGCCCTCCCCGGCTCTGGAACGTCATGTACCTGGCTACTCCATACTCCACCTCTCACACCGAGGCAACACATGTTCCTCCTTTTTCTGCCCTGTCAATTGTCACCCCCCCCTTCGACCCATCTCTTTCTTCATGTGTCACACCATCTCTCATCTCATCACTCCCCAAACTTTAACTCACTACCCCTAGCCTCCCTCCATCCAACGGTCCCCTTTCTTTCTCAACGTCTCTCTCTCTTTCACCCCTTTGACTTTTCTTTCCCCTTCAGTTTCATCATCTCCCACCGTCCATCCCTAGCTCTTTCACCATTCAAGCAACGTGCCCCCTCCATCTGCTATCCCATCTAACCCCTCTCTTTCAACCTCTGCTTCTACTTCTATTTCCAAAGAGGAACCCCACTCCACCTCGGCCCCCACTCTGGTTCAACCTACCCCTTTACCTCCTCTCTCCCCATTCCCCCCTCCCTCTTCACCGGCGGACCCGACAGGGGATCAAATGTGCTGGAGGTCAATTGGTGAGCGCATCTGATCCCCCATCGCCGACTCCCTTGTCTTACGATCGCCCACCCGAGTGTCTCTCGGCCCAAAGGTCTGAACACATGTCTCTGCCATCCTGACAACCTTCTCGACCCCAGCATTGCCCCACCTCCCCATCCCCTTCCTCATCTCCCTCCCAACCCTCAGCCTCCCCCTCTTCAACTCCCTACCCTTCTTTCCCCCTCCACCCTACTTTCCCGCCCCCCGTCTCTTTCTCCTCGTTCCTACCCTCTTCCCCCAACCATTCCCCCCTAATAATAATTCTCACTTGGAATATCCGAGGTCTCAGATAATCTCGAAAGAAAAATGTTGTTTGAGGCCTCTGTAGTAAGTATTCCCCCTCCATTCTGCCCATATTCGAAACCAAATCCTCTCCTTCCACCTTGGCTGCAATTCGTCAACTCTAAGGACGTTGACCATGTCAATGGGAGGCCCTTGGGGCCACAGGGGCCCTCAGAGGCATTTGGGTGATATAGGACTCCACAGTCCACTCCCTTTCCACCTCTTGGATCGATGCATCCTCAGTTACTCTATTCCTCACTAGGAATTCCGATGGTCTCTAATGGAAATCAACCATTGTTTATAGCCCAAATGCATATGGCCTAAGAAGCTCTTTTTGGGACGAACTCTCGTGAGTATTCTCCATGACCTCTCACATATGGTGTATAGGAGGGGATCTTAACACCACTATATATACGGTCCTTCGAGCATAACTCCAACTCCGCCATCTCCCCCAGCATGGTCCAATTCTCAAACTTAATCTCCTCCAACTACCCTTGCTGATATTCCCTTCCAAGGTGCCTAATTCACATGGTTGAACCATGCTACGCAACATTCCCTTTCCAAACATGACAAATTCCTTATCTCTATCGAATGGGACCCCTCCTTCCCTGGCACTCAAGCCATTGCCCTACCTAAAACCACCTCTGACCATTGGTGTATAAGAGGGGATTTCAACACCACTAGATGGTCCTTCAAACGTAACTCCGACTCCCCTATCTCCCTTAGCATGGTCCAATTCTCGGACTTCATTTACTCCAACAACCTTGATATTCCCCTCCAACATGTCCAATTCACATGGTTGAACCATGCTGCGCAACCTTCCCTTTCCAAACTCAATAGATTCGATAGAGACTATCGATGGGACCCCCTTCCCTAGCACTCACGCCATTGCCCTACCTAAACCCAACCCTGACCATTGTCCCACTCTCCTTGACACCTAGACAATTTCCAAAGGACCTCCCCCCATTTGGTCTGAAATGGCATGGCTGGAAGAACCCCACTTCCCCTCCACCTTCCAAGGTTGGAGGGCCTCCCTCGCCCCCCTAGTGCATGGATGGGTCGGTTCTAAACTCCAACAAAAACTCCAGTTATTCAAATCTTCGTCAAACTCTGGAGCAGCCAACTCCCTGGTAATTTTCAAGCTCACAAGGAGGCGTTACACAACTCCATCCAACTATGGTACTCGACCGAAGAATCCAAGTCCCTTTCCCCCTTGGAGCTCCAAGCTCGTGCCCAGGCTAGATTGGACTAGAAACCTCCTCTTGAAGAAAGCAAAAATCTATTGGGCCCAAATGTCCATAATCAAATGGCTCAAATAGGGAGACCTCAACACCACTTTCTTCCATAGAATTGCCAACTATAGAAGACCGGAAAATTCAATCTACCATATTAAGGTCGGCAACTCCATTATTGACGAAGCCCCCGCATTGAACAAGTTGTGGTAGACTTCTTCTCCCACCTCTTCTCTTCACCCCCCGGTCCTAGACCCTTGATGCACGACCTCTCATTCCTCACTCTCCCGATTGACAGGGTAGTTCGGCTGGAGCATCCTTTTAAGGAAAGACGAAATTTACGAGGCCAACCTCGGTCAAGATAGGGGCCCCTAGCCCTGACAGTTCCCTTGTTGTCGTCTTCAAATACTTATGGGAGACTCTTAAACCTGATACCCTACACATCTTTGCTTTGCTGAATTCCACTCTCAGGGAGTAGTTAACAAGTCCATGAATGCCATGTTCCTTGCCTTGATCCCGAAAAAAGAAGAAGCCAAGGAATTTAAAGACTTCAGACCTATTAGTCTCATTAACAACTCCTATAAGATCCTTTCCAAAGTCTTGGCCACTCGGTTTATAAAAGTTCCCAG